TTTTATTAGAAGAATTAATAATATTCTTGATGTTTTGGGGGCAGCTATAGCTAACCTTTAATTTTTTTAATTGAAAAAATTGCGAAGTTTTTGGTCTTTAGAAACATTTATCAATTGTACTCCAAAATGTTTTTGTTACGTTTGTTCTGACGTTGAGCGAATAAGATAGGTTTAACCAGAAAATGTTTCTTTTTTGAAATTTTGTATTGTGTTTCTAGATATTTAGAATAAAATTGATCTTAGTTTTGATCCACAAGAATTGAGAGCGTTATTATTAAATGATGCGGCCTCATCAAAAGCTTCTATGTTGGAAGATATATTACTGATGCAATTAGAGATCAATTTTGGTATTTATTTAAAAATGCTTAAATGATTGAAGTTAGTGTTAATATATAAAGGATTATCTCCTAGTTTTCAATAAGGTTTAAAAGAGTTCTCAGAAAGGTTAAATGTGGTATCTAGAAAGTTTACGTTTTAAATAACGATGCTTAGTTAAAGCGCATTTTTGTTTTCATTTTGTGTTACGTAATTTAAAATTAAAAACATTTTTTTAAGTTCGGGCGCTTTTCCGTTAACAAAATGAATTACGTCATTAAGTAATTATTTTTACAAGCAAAAAGCAACCCGTAATACGGGTATTGGTCGGTCTGTTACATAATTAATTTATAGTGGCTGTTTTCCACAATTTAATGTTACAAAAACCTTAACTAATACCCTTTTAGAAAATCGCCTTCAGCTTGAAAAAATTAATCCATCTGTAAAATTAACATAAAAAGTATGAGGAGGTAAAATAATTTACCAACTACTACTTAACATTTACAATTATTACTTAACATTATTTAAGTAATTTACAAATGGCATAGGTCATAACAGTGAAAGGCAGAACCATTTTCATAGACCTTCCTAAGTTTAACACAATACGTTTTTAGTTACTGACACAAAATAATAACACTTGGTCATGCTTTAAATTGACGAAAATGTCAACTAAATCCTTGTAATATTTTTTATAACACGAACCATTAAGATTAAAATGAAGTTAACTTATATTATACAGGAGTTATCAATTTTTTGGTATCCCCTTGATTAATTGTTTTTTAGAAAAGAAAATTGCTAACTTAAAAATGTTAAATGCACACATTTAAATTAATTTATATAAAAAAAAAAAACAAGTTTATTATAAATAACTACGCAACTGAGTACAAATACCTTTTAAACAAAAAAAATTTAATTTACGATCAAATATGGGTATAACAAATTTTTTAATGCATTAATGCATCATATGACAAACCTAAAATAAAAATTATAAGAGATAAGTAGACATAAAAATTTGCCCAAAATCTATTGAAAATAAAATCTCCAAAAATATTTCAATGCTATATAAAGTTAAACCTTTTCTTAATACGGAATCTTTAAAAATTATATATTTCTCATTTATTCATAGTTATCTTTCCTATTGTAATCTTGCATGGGCAAGTACCAATTATGGGAAGCTCAAAAAAATTTATAGCAAACAAAAACATGCTTGTAGGATTATTTTTGGCGTTAACAGAACTGTTAATGGTGAATCTCTTTTAAGGAAACTTAATGTGCTTAATATTTACAAACTTAATATATACCAAGTTATGCTATTTACATTTAAAACAAAACATGCGTTATCTCCTAATATATTTCAGTCTTACTTTACCAAAATATCTCATAAATATCCCACTAAATTTTCATCTGATAATTTTGTTATTCCAAGATCTTATTTAAAACTCAATTCATTTCAAATTCAATACCGGGGACCATTTATATGGAAAAGTTTTTTAAAAAATATAACTTAAAATAAAATTCTTCGAGGCATCTCCTTAGAACAATTCAAAAGAGAATCTAAACGTTTTCTATTAGAAAAAACTTTAGATTTTAAAGACTTCTTCTAAAATCACCTAAAATAATTAAACCTGAAAAAGTCATCACTACTCATTTACTATTGTCTTTTGTATCTTGTTTATTTCTTATTAAAATAAAAAATATATATACTATTAATTTTGAACAGACAAATAACATTTATTCGATGTATTACTTGTGTCTTATATCTGTCGAACTAATATTGTATTGTACTTCAATTTTTACCCTTTTAGTTTTTAACTTGTAACTTTGTGACGTTAATGTAAACGGGGCTTGGCGATGAGACAGTTTATGTCTTCTTCTTGCTCCGGCCAATTTTTATACATGAATGGTTTTTTTCATTGTAAATTTAATTATACGGCAAAGAAAATATAATAAAATAATAATAAAATAAAAAAATAATAACCAAGCTGACCCAACCCGAGTCTTGTTAAGTCTGTTCAACACAGACCATTTCTATATTATTTGTTTGGCCTCTTTATTTCATTAATTTTAAGTAAACGGTAATTTGCCACAATTTACTAAAAAATCCTTTTGTAACTCGAACTTTAATTTTCCTAAATATTTTGACTCTAATAAAGAGGTTCTTTCCCTCTTTTTCCTTTAATGGTGA